TTCAGAACAACAGCAAAAGATGATATTTACTTAATTGTGCATTAACTTGTATCATTATTATTATCATTATCTATCGATGAATAACATTTTTTCAACAAATCTACAGTTTTTTTTTCATGGGTAAATTATATCATGATGCATGGGAATTCTTCCACCCCCCCCCCCCCTCCCCAGGGACTTTTGTTCATACAAAGCTTTTAAGTGTGCTGTTGTAATTCAAAGATATGCTTTTCTAGAAATTAGGAGTGACTTATAATATCGTCTACAGTCCCTTTAAAGAAATTATATGGTTCCAGTGTAAGCTACTGCAGTATAAATATACCAGCATTAATTAGGTCCAATCTTAGAAATAGTTTCAGTTCAGCTTAGTTCATAATATACAGATATAAGTAGATAGATATAGATACATAGACTGAAAGAAAAAACTCAGCCCGAGCGGTTGAGATCTATCCTAGACTCTAGGATTAGAAATGCACCTATTTTCTAAAATTTAAAATTTGTTAAACCGTTAAAATTGTGCTTTTTCGTTAACATTTTTATCCACTTTTTAAAATCTTTTTTTGAGTTTTTTGTTTTAAACCGCTGGATTTAAGATGTTGAACAACTTTTTGCTTTAAACCACAGGAAAACAGATTTCTTGGAAAACATTTTCTTTAATCTGGTGGGTTTAAGATTTTAGATAACTATTATGCTTTAAACTACTAGTTCTAAGATTTTTCAGCAACTTTATGGCTTTCAACCGCTGGGTTTTAGATGTTGAACAACTTTTTGCCTCAACCACAGGAAAACAGATTTCTTGGAAAACATTTTCTTTTATCTGGTGGGTTTAAGAGTTTAGATAACTATTATGCTTTCAATCTCTGGTTTTAACATTTTTCAGCAACTGCTGGGTTTAAGAATTTTCCGCAACTTTTTTTTGTTTTAAACTACTGGGTTTAAGATTTTTCAGCAACGTTTTGCTAATTCACTGGAAAACAATCAAATCAAAAATCAAAAAATCGTTTTTGATTTCAACAGCTGGGTTTAAGATTTTAATTTTTTTTTGCTTTAAACCGCTGGTTTTATGACTTTTCCTTTGAACCACAGGAAAACAATTTTCTTAAAAAACATTTTTCTTTCAACAGTTGGTTTTATGATTTTAATCAAATCTTTTCCTTTCAACCCATGGAAAACAATTTTCTTGAAGAAGTTTGTGATTCAACCGCTGGGTTGAAGTTAAAGAATAAATGTTTCCTTTCAACTGCTGGCGTTATGATTTTTTAGCAACGATTTTGCATTCAACCGCCGGGTTTAAGATTTTGAACAACTTTTTGCTTTCATCCACTGGAAAACAGTTTTTTCTTTAAAAACGTATTTGATTTCAACTGATGTGTTTAAGATTTTAAATAAATTTGTTTTGCTTTCTACCGCTGGCTTTAAGATTTTTTAGCAACTTTTTGCTTTCAATTGCTGGGTTTAAGATTTTGAAATTTTTTTGCTTCTACCACTGGAAAACTGTTGTTCATAAAAAACGCTTTCCTTTTAACCGCCGGATTTAAGTTTTTGAACAACTTTTTGCTTTCAACAGTTTTTCTGGAAAATTTTTTCTTTCAACTGCTTTTTTAAGATTTTGAATAAATTTGTTTTTGCTTTCTACAGCTGGTTCTCTGATTGTTTAGAAACTTTTTTGCTTTTGATCGCTGGGTTTATAGCAACGGTTGAAAACAAAAAAAAGTTGCTGAAAATCTTAAACCCAGCAGTTAAAAGCAAAAATGTTTTTCAAGAAAACAGCTGTTTTTAAGTGGTTTAAGCAATAAGTTGTTTTAAATCTTAAACCCAGCGGTTGAAAACAAAAAAGTTGCTGAAAATTTGTACACCCAGTTGTTGAAAGCTGAAAGTTGTTTAGCATCTTAAACCCAGCGGTTGAAAGCGAAAACTGTATTGTCTGAGCAATTGATCTAATAAAAAATATTTTAAAAGTTCTCAAAAATATAAAAAAGTACGATTTTAGCGGTTGAGCACATTTTAATTTTGAGAAATAAAAGTGCATTTATAATTATACACTACGTAGAGTCTATGCCAGATCTCAACCGCTCTCGCTGAGTTTTTTCTCCAAATAGTTTTTGAAAACATTTTTTTTAAGAGCAGAAGTTGTCAGCTAACTTTGAAATACAGAATTTTGCCAATACTAACTATCATCTAATAATTAATTGTTTGGTACATTGCAAAAAGTACATTATTTTGATAATTTTGATAATTTCACAAATCCAAAGAATCCAAAAGATAAGGTTGAGTAATGGGTTATCCATGCAAATTCTATTCATTGGGTACCGTTGTTTTTTAATAAATAACTAAACGACCACCCGTTGACGGGTTTAAAAAACGCACGTTCGAGACGGTAAGTGTCATATCCAGTGACCCTACATGCAAATATGGCATTGTCCTATTCACAATGTTACCCTTAAAAGCTTTGTCTGAGCTGATAACTTTTGATTGGGATATCCTTAATCCCGTTCGGTTAATTAATCTGGAGATTAATAATAAGATTAAGAACAAGCATTATTTAATCTCAAGAATAAGAAAAAGAGTGGATTAAGCATTAATCTCGATAATCACTATTCAAAAGTTCCCTGCTCAGATCAAGTATTAATTACATAGATATAAAACTGGCTATTTAATTAATTCTGATTCCTCTACAAAAGTGAATTGCGCATTTCATACTGGAAGAAAAAATATAGGAATTATCAGAATTAAACATTTTAAAACCTATAACACATCTTGATTTAATAAAGGTTTCAAGGGTACTATTGTAAATCGGACATTGCAAGGAGAGTTACTTTAAATGACGATTAAAGTCCGACTTTAATAAGAATTTTGGCCAGCACTAGTCTAGTAGACTGTTCTAAGATGGTCTCTAGAGAGTATTGTGTTAGAAAACTTTTATAATTTTACTAATAAAGTTTTATTCAACGACATGGATACTTTTATTCATTGTCTATCAATCTATCTATCTTTCTATCTATTTATCTATTTTTATATTTATCTATCTATCTATCTATCTATTTATTATTTATTTATATATAGATACATATACAGATATAAGATCAGAAGTCAAAGTTAGATCTATCTATCTGGTTGAATGTATCTTTCTATCTTGATCGAGATAAATATTACAATATAGGAATTGCATTTTAAAAGTTAGTGGATTTGTGGATTGTGATTGTGTGAGGTCACATACATGGCACAAAATTTGGGCCCCTGATGATATGTTTAGCCGTTTTGACGTTTATTGGATACAAACAGACAGATTTTGTGTCCTCCTAGCTGCTTTAATAATGATTTTGTGTACAAATATGAGATGACAAATTTATCTGGTAACAAATTCGAAATTTTTTTGGAAGATTTTTATTTAACCTACAATTTAAAATTATTTCCCTTTCTTTAATTGCATGGTTTTTTTCTTCAAATGTCTGGGTGTTATCTAAAATATATCACTCTGGACCAACAAGGACGATATAGATTCGGTTTCTCTTATTTCAATTCAATACAGTTTTGGTCCAAAATTCAACAATTTTTAAACTGACAAATTTTGATTTATTGTCACAGATTGCTTGGATCAGGACCAAACTGATATATCCGTGTGAAATGTAAGGATCATAATTGATTACGAAAATGTTATAAAGATTAAAAGTTTATTCATATTAATCAAAAACACAAAGCTAGATGGTTTATTTAGGTTAAATGCGCACAAGGCTCCCTTGTTAGATTTCCAGAATGAACTGAGCTGAAAACTTTAGAATGGTGGATATCGGGATTAAGGCTTAATCCACTCTTTTTCTTAATCTCGAGATTAAATATTGCTTGTTCTCCACTCATTTTTAATCTCCAGATTAATTATCCGATCAGAGCTGAAAACTTTAGAATGGTGGATATCAGGATTAAGGCTTAAACCACTCTTTTTCTTAATATCCAGTTTAAATATTGCTTGTTCTCCACATGAATTTAAACTCCAGAGAAACGAACCCATCGGATATCTGGATATTTCATTCTAAAGTTTTCAGCTCAGGATTAAGGATATCCCATTCTAAAGTTTTCAGCTCTGATGTCAAACCAGAATAGGCTGCAATAAGTGCTTCATAAATTCTTTATGGCATGGCAGTATAATTAGTTCAGGGGTAGATCCTTTGTCAGGGATTTTCGGTAGTTTTCAGGATGTATTGCCAGAGAACCAGCGAAGGCTTCAACAAGGGCTCCTAATAAACAGTAATAGATGCATATTATTTATCTATCTATATATATATATATAAACTAAAAATCTCTGTTTGTCTGTTTGTTTTGTTTGGATGTCGGATCATAATCAGGAACCCCTTGGCCGATTTGCCTCAAATTTAGATTGTGGAACTCGAGAGAACCATAAGAATATTCTTATTTTGGTTTTGAGATTTTAAATTGAGTGGATTGATCGACTTTGATAGGGGATAATGGTTCCCTTAGGTCCCCTGGTTCCCTTGGTTCCCCTGGTTCCCCTGGTTCCTCTGATTCCCCTTGTTCCACAGGTTACCCTAGTTCCCATGGTCCCTCTGGTCGCCCTGGTTGCCATGGTTTCCCTGGTTCTTCTGGTTGCCCTGGTTCCCCTAGTTCTCTAGTTCCCCTGGTTCCCCTGATTCCCCTGGTTGCTCTGGTTTTTCCTGGTTGCCCTGGTTTTTCCTGGTTCTCCTGGTTGCCCTGGTTCCTCTGGTTCCCTTGGTTCCCCTGGTTTCCCTAGTTCCCCTGGTTCCCTTGGTTCCCCTGGTTTCCCTGGTTCCCCTGGTTCCCTTGGTTGCCCTGGTTTCCCTGGTTCCCCTGGTTCCCTTGGTTCCCCTGGTTCCCTGGGTTCCCTAGATTCCGTTGGTTCCCTTGGTTACCCTGGTTTCCCTGGTTCCCCTGGTTCCATTGGTTCCCCTGGTTTCCCTGGTTCCCCTGGTTCCCTTGGTTGCCCTGGTTTCCCTGGTTCCCCTGGTTCCCTTGGTTCCCCTGGTTACCCTGGTTCCCCTGGTTCCCTTGGTTCCACTGATTTCCCTGGTTCCCCTGGTTCCCTTGGTTGCCCTGGTTCCCATGGTTACCCTGGTTCCTCATGCTACCCTGGTTCCCCTGGTCCCTCTGATTGCCCTGGTTTCCTTGGTTGCCCTGGTTCCCATTGGTCTTGCCAATGGCATGTATTGTTGTGGTATCCATTATTCCCCCATCCTCTTTAGTTCTCTCAAGAATGTATCTTCCCAGTTACTGCGATTTATCCAGTTTAATATTTTCAAGGTTCTGAGATATTCCGCGTTCTTTTTACATAGTTCACGAAGCGATGAAATTCTCTTTCTCTAACATTAACAGATTTCAGACCCCTAGTGAAATTATGCATACAATTGGATTGAAAATAATCTTAAAACCTACTTTTTTAATTGAATTAAAGGAGCCTAAGCCCAGTCCAAAAAATGCCCACCGCCCTTTATCTCCTATTTTTGGCCCACATTTTTTCAAACCCCAGGTTCAACCTTGATGAATTAGAGCAGGATGCAATTACAAATATGTTACAAGATACATTGGTTGAAGAACAGTTAACCTCGGCAGCATCAGCAGCCTCTCCTGAGTCATCATGGAAAACCAAAGCCACCGTTGCCCTAGATCCTGGTTTATATTTAAGCAAATAGGCACGAACCACGGCTTAGAGGGAGAAAGGATAAGAAAATCAGAGTTAGTATTCAGGAAGAGTCTGAAGACGGAAGAGTAACTCCGTCAGAGAGCTCTGGCTTTCAATGATTTATAAATATCATTTTTATTTGTTCATTTTTTACTTGTAAATACATTTTTTCCTGTACTCTGTAGATTTACTCACATCAGTTTTTAAGGCTTTAGATTTTCTTTATTTCATGGTTTAGGTATTAAATAAATAAGTTTAATGTTTACTCTTTTTAGTTTTTACACACCCTTCATTCCCCCTCTGAATCCCTTGAGCATATCATGTTGTATATTTGTTGAAATATGATCAAAATATTACTTTGAGAAATTTATAAATATGGAAATATGGAAATAAAGTTTGTTATATTTTTATTTATACAAGTAGGACGCGTACACACAGAAAACACGGGAAACCCTTTCGCTAATTGAAGATTTTAACCCTAAAAGTTGGGAAAAATTTTAAAATAAAACTAGGGGCAGAAAACGCAACCTTCCTTGCCTAAAAATAAACAAAAAATAACAATAGTTCACAAATTATTATTATTATATTATTATTATTTTTATTAGATATCATCGACACAAACACTGAAAGGCGGATTTTTCAATACAATGCTGGCAACTGACAACTGACAACTGGCAACTGACAACTTACAACTGACAACTTACAACTGACAACTTACAACTTACAACTGACAACTGACAACTTACAACTTACAACTGACAACTGACAACTGACAACTGACAACTGACAACTGACAACTGGCAACTGACAACTTACAACTGACAACTGACAACTGACAACTGGCAACTTACAACTGACAACTGACAACTTACAACTGGCAACTGACAACTTACAACTGACAACTTACAACTGACAACTTACAACTCACAACTTACAACTTACAACTGACAACTGACAACTTACAACTGACAACTGACAACTGGCGACTGACAACTGACAACTGGCAACTGACAACTTACAACTGACAACTGACAACTTACAACTGACAACTGACAACTGACAACTTACAACTGAAAACTGAAAACTGACAACTTACAACTGACAACTGACAACTGACGACTGACAACTGACAACTGGCAACTGACAACTTACAACTGACAACTGACAACTGACAACTTACAACTGACAACTGACAACTTACAACTTACAACTGACAACTGACAACTGATAACTGACAACTGACAACTGACAATTGACTACTGACAACTGACAACTGACAACTAACAATTGACAACTGACAACTGACAACTGACAACTAACAACTAACAATTGACAACTGCCAACTGACAACTGACAACTGACTACTGACAACAAACAACTGACAACTAACAACTGACAGCTGACAACTAACGAAAATTTAAATCAATTATTAAAACGAAAAGTGTTGGTAGCTTAAAATTGCATATGCAGTAGACCCCCAGAACACCTCCCCCCCCCGCCCTTCTCCTAAATTAGATTAAAAAATAAAATTCCTGCAAAAATTTTCTTCAAAATTATGTTTTTTTATTGCATAAAATGCAAATTTAATTTTGAAATAATTTCGTTTTTTTTGGTAAATTTAAGAATTTCTTAGACATTTGACGGATGCAACATTTGCGACAATTGTACAACGTACATTGTACAACGTACATTGTACAAAGTAGATTGGACAACGTACATTGTACAACGTACACTGTACAACGTACACTGTACAACGTACACTGCACAACGTTCACTGTACAACGTACATTGAACACCGTACATTGTACAACGTACATTGTACAACCAATATTGTACAACTTACATAGCACAATGTACATCTTGCATTGAATAGATATATTAATAGTTTTTGCATTATATAGAATGTTATTTTTAATTTGTAAAAATTAGATATATTGGTATTTGTAATTTGCCATGCACCAAAGAAAGCTTTTATTTTTTCGAGTGTACGTAACGTTAAAGTACAGTAAATTGTGTGTAAAATGTAACTCTTAAATATCTCCTCTTGTTGAAAAGAACCAACAAGCTTTGAATTTATAATGCAGTTATTGCAAATGCATTAGGATGTGTGTAAAATCCAAACTAGAGGCGTTATTACAAGGTTGTTGGATTTTTTTGATGAATTCATAAAAAACAGATTTTTCGATGATGACTGTAAGCTATATTTTTTATTGTATAATTGACTTCACTTTAGTTCATTACTCTCAGAATTTTTGAGATCTAGATAACTCTGAAAGTTAGTCATCAAATTTTTAAACAGCCTCAACTTTGAAGTGTCGCAACGCCTTGGCTTTGGTTTTACCTCTGCACAAACTTAATTATTTTTTTAGTAACCCAAGACATTGTTTCCAGCTTAAAAAGGAGAGACCGGCAAAATATTGGTCGATTTGCACATCTGGATTTGAAGTGAATTTGTATAAAGTTGAAACTGTAGTGATCAAATATTGTGTACTCTAAAAATATTACAATGAAACCCTTAATAACGAATACATCGAAAGAATTCATCAAATGTCGTATTCTTCACTTTCGCATAATGGAATGTTGCAGATATTTAGTTTTTTAATTAAATGATTATATGGAGCGCTTTAAAACTGTTCCCGCATATTCATGGCTATTTACTTATTTTCGCAAATACTGAAATTTACGTAATATGATATTAGACTTGTTTTGACCCACTTCCACTTGTCAGATTTTGATAAAATTTAGCTTTTTAGAAAGCCTTTGACATAAGAAAACGAATTGCACAAGTTTGGCGAAAAAAAAATTGCAAATTTTTTGCAAACAACCTGTCAAAAGAAATTTGCACATTTTTAGTTTTTCTTGATTAAAATTCAGGTTATTTAAAATTTAGCAAAACTGTTTGCATATTTGAAATGGCATGGTCAAGGGCTTTTCAAAAATGAATAATTTTTAATTTTTTGGACAAATTTTTTTGCAAACATTTTTACTATATAACTGGATTTTGCGATAAAAAATTCAATTTTTGCAAATTTGCAAATTTTTTTGCAGATTCTAAAGTAGAGCACAAGAGCTTTCCAATGAAAAAAAAACCTATTTCACTTTATAAAATAATATTTTAACTACGTATTTGATTAAAAACAATATAAATACACTTCAGTTAAACTTAAGTATTGTTTTAATGTCGTCTTCCTATTACACAGTTTTCAGTTATACCTAGAAAAACGCTACACTCATAAAACGCTACACCACAATAATATCAGTAATATAAGACTTAAATTGAAGTAAAAAGTATATTTAGAATCTATTTAGACAAAAAGATTTTAAAGAATAAATGCACTTTTACAAATTGAGAAATACATGTACATATTACTGTAAAATATGGAAAGAATATATCCAATTGCAATGCCATACCAACATCAAAATTAAATTGAAAATTTTCTCAATTAGCTTAATATTTCATTCACACAAACCACAAACAATTTCATGCTTTTTTTTTAAATTTAATATAATTCAGGGTCCAAAAGAAATGCTCCCTTCGAACTTTTGATTTTTATATTTTTGGACATTTTCGTAACAACCCGGAATAGTGGGCACTGCCACTGCCAGTATGGATTGTTTTATAGTCTAGCACTAAAACATAATAAAATTAAGGAAGTGAAGACAGAGTTAGAAGTTTGCCATTTTGACTCCGTGGTGTAAGTTGTTTTACATTTTTGATTCCCTTTTGGCCTTTTATGTTACTTCATTTTCTTTCTAACGAAAAAGAAAAAACATCCTATTAAAGACGACATTGATAAACATAGCACTAAGCATTTACTAAAAAGCAGGAAGTGATTCTATAGCTTTAACCCCGTCATAAATTATGTCAATTAAAAATTTTACTGAAAAAGTTCAAGGTGATAGTAATGAAAATCAGTCATTAAAAAGTATACACTTAATATATAGTTTAAAAAGAGTGTGTATACTTCGTGTAAAGTTTAAGAATAAAAAATATTAATCATAAAAGCGGAAAAAAAATTTGCTCGGAGCTTCAATGAAAAAATTCGATGTGGTGATAAAATTAACAATGAATAAAGTGAAGATAATCTTGTTTTTAGTATTTATCAATTTCGATGTTCTGTGAACTTCCCCTTTTGGTTCCCTAGTTGCGACCCTGCAAAGAAACCTACAAGCTGATTATGGGAGCAGAATATAATGTACCGGCCGGACCTTGTATTCTTTACTGGCTCGACGTAATATTCTGTACCGGCCAGACCTGAAACATTCTATACCGGCCAGACCTGAAATATTCTGTACCGGACTGCCTGTTGCCCTAGTGCTCTGGCCTGGATACAAGGTTGTACTGTCATAGCTGGCAAAGAGAAAAATACAGTTGATTTGAAATATAATTATCCATTTCTGTAAAACAAATATTTTAAACCTGGTCTTTATCACTACTATTGTTACTATCTTACTATCAGGGGCGGATCAAACCAATATCTCAGGTGGCCGGGCCCATATTTTTTTGGCCCCCTCCCCCTACAAATTGAACAAAAAGCAGTAAATTTCCAATTTTTTATTTATTATCACATTGAAAACAAATTTCCCGTAAAAATAACAAAATGAATTTTCTCCTTCATAAATTAACAAGGACCTATATGAGAGTTAATGGAGCAAACATGAAAGAATTAAATATTTGCAACAGATTAATACCTTGTTTGACTGAATGAACTGGGTATATTCAATTTTAAGACTTTCCAGACCTCTGATACTTTAAACTTGCTAAAGTTCAATATAAATCATATCATAGTAACATGTTACATAACATATTATAATCAAAGGTAATAATCTTGGTGATTATCTATACTTTTTTAGTGGTTACAGGGGCGTACGAGAGCAATTGTGTAGAGGGGGCACTTTTGTTCCCCCCCCCCTTGGCAACATTTTGTACCCCCTTGAAAACCCCTTTTTAAAAAAAGTATTGATACCTTTTTAACTATGTAAACTATTCGATCATATCTTCCATATAACAAGTGTTAATAAATTTATTATGTAATTTTTTTAAGTGGACTCATCAGAGACACTTCCTCTCAATACTGTGGTGTAAGCTTCAATGGGTGAAAAATATAGATGGAAACGTTTCTTTAAAAATATCTATATTTTCATAGAAACAATACATGTTGTATAATTGTAAATAATGATATCAAAGATAAATTTACACTGAAGGCAGAATTGATTAAAGTGAGTGTTCGCGAAAAATGAAAAATCTTACTTCTATCTGTTGCGTCTATAAGGAGAAAAATTGATAAAGACGTCTCATACCGAAGAGCGTAGCGCCCATACAAATTGAGGAAGTTGGAACATACGACTTAGACCGTAAAAAATTCAAATTAATATCAAACAAATCATTCAGATATTACAACCTATAGTCATCGATTATCTTTCGCCACATTTGTGTATATTTAATATTTTATACTAGTTTTGATTTTGTTTTTTAAAATAATATTTAGCTTACAACTTGTTTTCGAACATTCCTGGAAAATATGAAAATGTCGTCTTCCTTACCAAAAATCCTCGAAACAGGAATAAACGTTTTTATAAGTAACTCTCAGATCATAACAATTAAAACATATTATGAAAAATCAACTATATATAAATGTGGCGAAAGATAATCGTTGTAATATTTGAATGATTTGTTTGAAATTAAATTGATTTTTTTACGGTCTAAGTCGTATGTTGCAATTTTCTCAATTTGTATGGACAACATGTTATTCGGTATCAGACGTCTTTAACAATTTTCTCCTTATAGACGCAACAGATGGAAGTAAAATTAGAGGCGATCAAAAGCGCTTTTTTATCGCATTAAGCCTATACCCCCTTTCATTTTTCGCGAACACTCCCTTTAAAGCTTTTACAATGAAACTTTTTTAGTTAAGGGCAAAAGTGAGATTTTATGTTAAAGTATGTAGATGTATGTATAAAGATGTATGTTAAAGTATGTTTTTATTACGAGTTTAATGAATTTTTAAAGTGATAACCAGAAAATTCTAAAATAGGAAGATGACTTTTAGACTCAAGTTAGGAATTGAACTATAAGTTCAATGATCATTAGACATAGCAATTGTACAGTGTAAATGGACCCATTTCACTTAAATAGTGTTTTGCTAAGTTAAAGTAAAAATATTTGCTTTGTAACAAAAATTATTGCTATAATGTCGTCTTTCTATTCCATTGTTTTCTGGTTATCATTGTATGAAATATTTAACTTAAGAATTCTCATTTTTTCCCAAGCACAATAATAACAATTGCATCAGACTCTTAATTAAGATTTTTTTTATTACTATCTTATTACCATTTTTTATTAAACAATAAAGAGTTGTTTCTGGTTTTTAAAATGAAAAGAAAGAAAAATAATTTAAAAATAATAAGTAATCATTTAAACCACCCTAAACATTTTTCGTTTTAAATAATTTCATTTTTTTGAGAGAGAGAAACATTTATGATTTTTGATTTATGTTTTATGATTTATGATTTATGATTTATGATTTATGATTTATGATTTATGATTTATGATTTATGATTCATATGATGATGAGACTCACAACCATGGGTGGCATACATAGTGCATATTAGTACTATAAAGATAAAGATATGAGAATATAATTTAAAAAGGTATTTCAGTTTAGATCATTTATTCAACACTATTTTAGGTGTATCTTTCATACCTTGATGCGCGCTTTTATTTATTATTATGAATTTCCTGTGATCCACCCCTGCTTACAATCATTATTATTATTAGTGTTATATATCAGAATAATAATGATAATAATAATATTATAATTATCCTTATTATATTATTAACTAGCTGGAGTCCGCCTGGCGTTGCTCTGGTTTGTATCTTTATTTACAGTCATAGTTAATCCCGCCATTTACCCGCACTTGGTATCAAATTATTTAAGACAAAGTAACCGGCGATGTCCTTGAAATTTCAAAAATTTTCAAACATTTTTAAACTGTATCTGCACCCCCGGAATACCCATGGGTTTCCTTAAAATGTCGTTAATATCATCATTAATAGTGTTAATATTAATATTATTATTATTGTTAAAATTAAACTCCTTTTTACTATCATCATTATTATATTTTCTCTTTGGCCTACGCAAACCTATCTGTCGTCATTAAAAAAATTATTAATAACAATAATTTTCAAAAGAGTCTTTCAGGAAAAAGTTCAAATCTAGAACGGTTTAAATAGTCTAGAAAAAAAATTAGAAAATGAAAGAAAAATAGAAAGAGAGAAAGATAGAAATACATATAGAAAGATAGAAAGATAAGAGAAGAAGGAGAGGAAAAGAAAGCTGAAAGACATCCTCCTCAAATCCCGCCTTCCCTCGGCCGCCAGTCGTTCCTAGTTCGCTCATAAGAGAGGACCTTTGCCCAATCTTCAAAATATCGATTTTTTTCAAGAATTCAATGTTCAAGAAAGTGTGCGAATTTTTATAATCCAAATATTAAGAGTGATTCTAAAATTCCTGCTGGTCATCAACCATAAAATTTGCGTAAAAGTGTAAAAGGAGAAATATGAAAGTCAAGGTTTGAAAGGATGGTTTGAAAAAATAGAAAAAAAGACGACAAAGCCGAATCAGGGGATCAAGAGCTAAGTTGCAAGAACAAAAGTAGCTAGATGGAAAGATTGCGGAGCTAGAAGAAAGGGCTGAGGATCTAGAAGTAAAACTCTAAGAATCTAAAAGAAAGAGTCAAGGAACTAGAAGAATCTAAAAGAAAGAGTCAAGGAACTAGAAGAATCTAGAAGAAAGAGTCAAGGAACTGGGAGGAAAAGCTAAGAAGCTAGAAAGAAACTAGAAGAATGGGGGATACAGAGGTTTTGATGTCGGACAAGGTTGTTCAGGAGTTGATGGGAGAACAGGTAGAAATCAAAACTTATACATCGAATTGTTTTGACTTTGAACCTATCCTTCACTGACCCTGAGTCTGAAACTAATTTCTCCTGAGTCTAAAACTAATCTCCCCTGAGTCTGAAACTAATCTCCCCTGAGTCTGAAACTAATCTCCCCTGAGCTGGAAACTAATATCCCCTGAGTTTGAAACTAATCTCATTTAAGACTCCTGAGTTTGAAACTAATCTCCCCTGAGTCTGAAAGTAATCTCCCTTGAGTTTGAAACTAGTCTTCTATGAGTTTGAATCAGATCTCCTTTGAGTCTGAAACTAATTTCCCCTGAGCTTGAAACTAATCTCCTCTGAGTCTGAAACTAATTTCCCTTGAGTTTAAAATTAATCTCCCTTGAGCTTGAAACTAATCTCCTCTGAGTCTGAAACTAATTTCCCCTGAGTTTAAAATTAATCTCCTCTGAGTTTGAAACTAATCTCCTCTGAGTCTAAAACTAATCTACCTTATGTCTGAAACTAGTCTCCCCTGATTTTGAATTAAATCTCCCCTTATTCTGAAACTAATCTCTCCTGAGCTTGAAACTAATCTCCTCTGAGTTTGAAACTAATTTCCCCTGAGTTTGAAACTAATCTCCCCTGACTTTGAAACTAATCTCCACTGAGCTTGAAACTAATCTCCCCTGAGCTTGAAACTAATTTCCCTTGAGATTGAAACTAATCCCCCCTGAGTCTGAAACTAATCTCCCCTGACTTTGAAACTAATCTCCCCTGACTTTGAAACTAATCTCCACTGAGCTTGAAACTAATCTCCCCTGAGCTTGAAACTAATTTCCCCTGAGTTTGAAACTAATCTCCTCTAAGACTCCTGAGTGTGAAACTAATCTCCCCTGAGTCTGAAAGTAATCTCCCTTGAGTTTGAAACTAGTCATTCATGAGTTTGAATCATCTCCCCTGAGTCTGAAACTAATCACCCCTGAGCTTGAAACTAATCTCCTGTGAGTCTGAAACCAATCTCCCCTGAGATTGAAACTTATCTCCCCTGAGTCAGAAACTTATCTTCGCTGATTTTAAAACTAATCTCCCCTGAGTTTGAAACTAATCTCCCCTGAGTTTGAAACTAATCTACCCTGAGTCTGAAAGTAATCACTCCTGAGTTTAAAACTAATCTCCCCTGAGCTTGAAACTAATCTCCCCGGAGTTTGAAACTAATCTCCCCTGAGTCTGAAAGTAATCTACCCTGAGTTTAAAACTTATCTCCCCTGAGAATGAAACTAGTCTCCCCTGAGTTTGAAACTGTGAAAGGATAACAGCTTGTGCAAGTCTGTTAATGAAGGGCGTTAACAACAAAATATTTTTCCAATAAAATTGTATTTAATTAAAAAACTGTTTTTTCTTTTTTTTTCAAATAATTTACAAGGGAATGCTTTCAAGATTTTTCATGAAAACTTTTCTAAAATTTTTTCAAATTAATTTTCATCTCGAATATTTGTTTTAAACTTTGGAAAATGGATTTTGTGTTTAATTGAATAATCAAACACATGATCAAAAATAAAATTTACCCAATTAATAAATCAAATATTGAATTTTAATCAGTTATGAAACCAATTATTGATTTGAAGTCAGTTATTAAATCAATTATTCATTTTTTATTAGTTAACAATCATTGATTTTTAATCCGTTATTAAATCAATTAATGATTTAATCAGTTACTAAATTAGTTATAAATTTTTAATCAGTTACTAAATCAATTGTTGCTTTTTAGTCAGTTTACAAATCAATTAGTGATTTAACTAATTATCATTTAATAAATTTTAATTAGGGAGACCTGATACAAACCGGAAGTCCCGCAATTCTTTGTTCCCCTCTTCCGCAGCATTGGCGGAGTAATAAATCACTTCCGGTTGCTTTTAAAGTTTTTACTTTTCAGGTAGTTTTTTTTACTTTTTAGCTTGGTTTTTTTTTACCTTTTTTCAGGTAGTCTTTTTTACATTTTTATTGTTTAGATTTTTTCTGCAGTTTTACTTCTTTAGCTTTTCAGAAAGTCAAAAAAAATTCGTTTAGTTATTTAGTTTTGCTACTTTTGGGTAGTTTTTTATCATTCAGTTAGTTTTTTATCTTTCAGTGAGTTTTTTTTATCTTTAAGTCAGTTTTTTACTTTAAAGCCAGTTTTTAGGTAGATGATAACCCTATTCCTGCTAGGGGGGGGGTCAATTTGACCCCCCCCCCTGTAGTTTTTTTTCCATAACTCAAAAAGTATTTTCTAACTTTTCCTACATACCCAAAGCCCTCCCTTTAGGCCTAAAACCGGGCTTTGATACTAACTGCCTGAGTCAGGCACACTGTAACAAACTAAATCTTTGTTTTGACCCACTTTCACTTGTCAGAATTTGATAAAATTTAGCTATTTGGAAAGCCTATGACATAAGAAAACGGATTGCACAAGTTTTGCGAAAAAAAAAATTGCAAATGTTTTGCAAACAACCCGTCAAAGGAAATTCGCACATTTTTAGTTTTTCTTGATTAAAAATCAGGTTATTTAAAATTTTGCAAAAAATTTTGCATATTAGAAATGGCATGGTCAAGGGCTTTTCAAAAATGTATAATTTTTTTATTTTTTGTACAAATTTTTTTTGCAAACAATTTTACTATATAACTGGATTTTGCGATAAAAAATTCAATTTTGGCAAATTTGCAAATTTTTTTGCAGATTATAAAAGTAGAGCACAAGAGCTTTCCAATGAAAAAAAATGAATAGCGCTTAGGCTGTTTAGTTTACCCTGAAATTACCCAAAAAAGTGAACGGTCCCTTTAATACCCCTTTGGATCTATAACCAGGCTTTTATACTAACTGCCTGAATCCTCAGGCACACTGTCTGAATGACTAATTTTTTCTGTAACAAACTAAATCTTTGTTTTGACCCACTTTCAGTTGTCAGATTTTGATAATTTTAAGTCTTTTTGGAAAGCCTTTTAACATAAGGAAACGGATTGCACAAGTTTTGCAGAGAAATGTTTGCAAATTATTTGCACACAACCCGTAAGAAGAAATTTGCACATTCTTGGTTTTTATTAAATACACATCAGGTTATATAAAATTTTGAAATTTTTTTCATATTTGAAATGACATGGTTAAGGGCTTTTTAAAAATGTATATTTTTTTATTTTTTGGACTTTTTTTGTTTGCAAATATTTTCACTAAATAACTAGGGTTAAAAATTATTTTTTGCAAATTTGCAATTTTTTTAGCAGATTCTAAAAGAAGAGCATAAGAGCTTTCCAATGATGTACCATTTGTCATATTTGGACATCAAACATGGGATTTAGAGGGGGGCGTCAAATTGCTCCCCCCCCCAGCATATCCTGGTTTTCAAGTACACCAGCAGGGATAGGATTAAGTTAACTTACAAGGTTTATGATCAGAGTTTAGAAGGCAAGCATTGCCATCTTATTAATGGCTTTTTGTCAGTTCGACGAACCCCTGAAAATTCTAATGATTCTTCCTTTAACCTGAATAATTATCTAGGAGGTCCCTGATGGAACTATTGTCACTGTCAAGTGTGGAAATGATGATAATTACAGTGGTGAAGTCAGGAACTGTACAGCAATCATGAAAAATCAAATGGCAAAATTTTCAGATCTGAGGTAAGCTAGTTTTATCCTTGAAGAATGTTAAATTTACTGAGCCGGTATATATCAAGAATACAGTTACTGTAGTTCTAAAGATCATAATATATTTGACAATGTCATGTGTTCTTTTTTTCAGATTTATTGGTCGCTCAGGGCGCGGGAAGTCCTTCACAATTACCATAACAATCCAAACCAAACCTCTTCAGTGTGCAACCTACAACAAAGCCATCAAAGTCACCGTGGACGGACCTCGTGAGCCACGAACCAAAAACCGGTTTTTCCCCGGCATGTTTGGATCCTTTGGATTGTTCCCCCAGCCGTTCTTGGATCCACTTTATCTGTACAGAGACTTTCTTCAAAGCAGACCGGATATACCTCCCCTTCCTCTTCCCTTGAAGCTGCCTACCCCCCTGGGGGTAGCCCCACCCCGCCCCCTTCTCCCCTGGACACTTCCCCCCAGTGTTAGGTAAACAAAATTCAAAAACTTTAAATTTAAAACCCTCCTAATCTTAATTTCCAAATTTTCCCCATTTTTTAGAAGCAGCCTTAAATTACAAAAAATGGCTGTTTTTAAAATTCTAGGGACCCAAATCTACTGAATCTAATCAAGTTTAAGAGGAGTTCTTACAGTACAGTTAGTCTAAGACGTTCAGCTAGAAGTGGTTAAAATTAGTCTAAGAAGTTCAGCTAGAAGTGGTTAGTTTAAGAAGTTCAGCTAGAAGTGGTTAAAGTTAGTCAAAGAAGTTCATCACGAAGTGGTTAAAGTTAGTCTATGAAGATAGTTAGTCTATGAAGTTCAGCACGAAGTGGTTAAAGTTAGTCTATGAAGTTCAACTAGAAGTATAAATTAAAGTTAGTCTAAGAAGTTCAACTAGAAGTGGTTAAAGTTAGTCAATGAGTTTAATTTCTTCTTCCTATTCATAAGATTTGGGACCCATTTGGTTTAGTCGTGTTGACGTCTGAAAGCTCGAAAATGTCCTGAAAAAAAATAATAAAATAATAATAATTAGTAATTTTAAATTTTTCAGATCATCTCCAATATCTCCAACTGCCACAATTTCCAGTCAAGATATTAAGGAAAGTCACACAACAAAATTAAATTTTAAAACTTCGAATTTTAGCAACTTTTTTGTCTTTAAGAAGGAATTTTTTTACTTGATGATATAGAACCAGTTTATTGAAGAATAAAAACAGTTATAAAATAGCACTATTTGCCGCAAATTCAAATTTTCTAATCCCTAAATCTTTGCAACCTGATGGTTTAAACCTTTGATATCAAACTTAAGTTATTTGATCTAACAGAAGGCTTAGTACTTAAGGACTACGACAATGTGTTGCAAAGATATAGGGATTGGAAAATCAGACTCAATTCCTTTTTTGTTGTTAGATAGAACACTAGATATAGTCTTTTCGAGATTTTGGGAGTTTTCGTTCACAATAAGCCTGTGGTCGAAGCCCAAAGGAGTTACGCGTTAATGTGAACGAAAAATCCCTAAAAATTGAAAAGACGACATCTTGTGTTCTATCTGTATTTATATGAATTCATTTTTTTGATAATATACAACTATTTCATTGAAAAAACATTTGTTGATAAATAAAATTGTTAAATTTGTTTGTTGACCTCTTCAGGAGGAAGAGGATGATGATGAGGATGAGAAGGATGAGGAGAGATCTGCCTTTAAACAGGTTAAACCAACTAAACTCAAGCTCACCAAGGATAAAGATAAGCATGTCTGGAGACCTTACTAAATCAGAAATCGTGACTCAAACATCAGGAAATGATTCTGTATACATTTCCAAATACTTAACATCCGAAAAATAGTGAATAATACATAATACTTCTCTAGTACGATCATTTTGATCTATGATTTTTGACGTCAAGTGCAAATGCCGCAAATCATATTCTTGCCGAGTTCGCGCAGTGCGCAGTGTACTAATAGTGTGAAACAACTCAATCTAATCGGCGAAGTTATTTAGAAGTAGATTGAAGTGTTAGGTCCCTAGGGATTTATAATATCTGCTTATAACTAAAGGTGTGGGTTATGATTGATATGTTATGATTTAATCCAATGACAAGAATTAATTTAATATTCCTACGGATGACGATCTTCCTATGCAAACCTTAATATGAACCTATATATGAGCAAGTGGACAAAAATGTATTATGAAAGAATAGATTCTGAACTTAAAGTGTATGTAACGTGTTATCTAAAAATAACTTACTAGTCTAAATGTTATTTAGCTTCAATAACATTAACTCAGTCATATTTGTTATAGCCGGACATCATTTTTGCATACCCTTCATGTACTGTAGCCAACTACAGCTTAAAGGGAGTGTTAACCTATTTAAATGTACTGTAAGCATGATAAACCTCCATGCAAAGATGATAATGCCCTTGAAAACCTGATCAAGTATGAATTAAATATCTATGCTTTTGTTTCTGTAAACTATAAAATTTGAGGTTTTACTGCGAAAGTGACTTGCGCATTTCTTGTTAGGAGAAACTTACAAAAATCTAGTCAGAATAACGACGGTATCTTCTGCACTGTTGAACAGATTAAGGTTGTAACTTGGACATTGTCATCCTTGTTTGGAGGTTCATTTCAAATAAGCAGTTCTTTTAATGATCAATAATTTCAATTTTTGAAATGAAGAATAAAACCCAAATGTTTAGTATATAGTGTACCTTCAACATAAGTAAATAATCCCTTTAAAAGAATGTAATATTGTAATTTTTTCTTTCCTCTGAACTGTCGTGAATCGCTTAAGGCACTTTTTAAAAAGAGTCTTAAAACTATTTCAAACATTCACTTTAATTTCACATAAAAATTTCCAACTTGTGAACGCAGCGGCAATAGTTTCTTGTTTCTAATTGTTTTGTCATTTTCTGTAACTTTGTCCAGTTTATTATTTATTGATTTGTGATCTCAATATTTAAAAAATAATAAATTAAATAAATGTTGTGTACTGTCACTACAGTCTGTATAAGTACTATACAGCGCTTGCTCTCGGCTGGTTAAAAGTCGATACGGTACTATAAAAATTAACCGAAGTTTAAATTGATACACAGTGAGATCCAGAAAACAATGGAATTCTCCTTGGCGTCTTCTCTTTTATCTTTGTTTGAAACCAGCTGAACTGTCCGTGGGAAAAAATTCAAATTTTGAAAAATAAATTTTGTCAAAAAAATCTAATTTGTTTAGCCTTTGTTAACACTAGGGTAGTCTTTACTATAGTTTCAGTAGAAGAAAATATTTCCATTTATTGATAGCGCCGATTTTAGGATTCATATCTCTAATTGGATAATGAGATAGTTAGAAAGATAGATGTTATCGCCATATAATTTCTATTGGTTCAGATAGACAACAAACACATGACTGAACCCTGATTGGATCAGGTACTAATGGACTCGGCATACAGGGTCTGTTGGGTTACCTGAAACAATTTCAGCCAATTTGGTCCAGCCGTTTAGCCAGCTATATAAAGGAGATGTCGGTACTGATTTTTTGCGCAAACTTTGATTTTTTATCCTTATATCTTTGCAACCCAGTGTAGGATAACTTAGTTATTTTAAACTGCGAATTCTTATAGGTCAAAAATATAAGTTTAAAATTTCAATGGTTTTTACCTTCAGGTTGCACAGATATAGGATTGAGAATATTTCAGTTTGTGACAAAGATTCAATTTCACATAATGGAAAGCTATATGTCGTTTTACTTCTTTGGTTAAATTTTGTCGTAAGATATCTATAATAATGATCTAAGACGATCTTCAATTTCTCTCTTATATAATCCAAAAAAAGGAATTTTTGAACGTTCTAAAAAGTAATAACATAGTAATATAAGTTAACAATTTGCCACAAAGCAAACCAATCAATCTATCGATAGATCTAGTTCAAATATCTATCTATCTATCTATCTATCTATATATCTATATATCTATCTATCTATCTACTACTTATATATCTATATATCTATCTATTTTCTGTCACCAATGACTGATTTCCTCCTAATTTGTATAGAATTGTCTATAAAATAAATAACTACTGTGTTTCATGTCAAGGTTTTTATGGCCCTACACCTCTTGGGCTATAAAAATATAAAAATATAAAAAAAAATATAAAATAGAAATTTTTTCCGGAAATCTGTGTTGCAACCTGTACAAATAACGATGAGTTCGTTTATTGTTCACAGAGAGATTTTTATATAAAAAAGGATGTCGGAATTTATTAATACGTTTTTTACATAACTTTTAACTGACCCAATCACGACTGGAAACTGCTGGCCACCCCCCACCCCACCCCCTCCCATGTTGAATTTTCTCTATAACCTAAAAATGGTTTTCGCTACAGCATTATTATAAATTAGGTCGGGTAGAGGGCAGTTAAATGGCTGGTTAAACTTTGTTGGGACATTTTTAGGTCTAGCTACAGGGTGTCCCACATCAAATTAGACCGAGTCAATGGGTCTAAATTACGATTTGGGGGACAAATCAGAAACATTAAGAAGAATCAATCATTTTGAAAAAATTTAATAAGGCTAATAGAAATTTTTTTGCAGTAAATGATAGATTTTTCGAGTATTATGTGCGTATTTTGGCGTTAAAGATTGGAGATAATCTAATATGATATGGGACGCTCTTTAGTTCCACGTGGTTAAACTTAGTTGGAACATTTTTAGGTCTAGCTATCTCTACGTGGTTAAACTTTCTTGGAACATTTTTAGGTCTAGCTAGTGCTACGTGCTTAAACTTTGTAGGAACATTTTTAGGTCTAGTTAGTAACACGCGGTGGTCCTTAATTGGGACATTCTTAGGTCTAGTTAGTTCCGCGTGGTGGACCTTAATTGGGACATTCTTAGGTCTAGTTAGTTTCACGTGGTGGATCTTAATTGGGACATTCTTAGGTCTAGTTAGTTCCACGTGGTGGACCTTAATTGGGACATTCTAAGGTCTAGTTAGTTCCACGTGTTGGACCTTAATTGGGACATTCTTAGGTATAGTTAGTTTCACGTGGTGGACCTTAATTAGGACATTCTTAGGTCTAGTTAATTCCACGTGGTGGACCTTAATTGGGACATTCTTAGGTCTAGTTAGTTCCACGTTGTGGACCTTAATTGGGACATTCTTATGTCTAGTTAGTTTCACTTGGTGGACCTTAATTGGGACATTCTTAGGTCTAGTTAATTCCACGTGGTGGACCTTAATTGGGACATTCTTAGGTCTAGTTAGTTTTACGTGGTGGACCTTAATTGGGACATTCTAAGGTCTAGTTAGTTCCACGTGGTGGACCTTAATTGGGACATTCTTAGGTCTAGTTAATTCCACGTGGTGGACCTTAATTGGGACATTCTTAGGTCTAGTTAGTTCCACGTGGTGGACCTTAATTGGGACATTCTTATGTCTAGTTAGTTCCATGCACATGTTGGACCTTAAATCTGGTTTACAAATCTCAGATTTCTAAACGTACATATATGTAACTAATTACAAGAGGGTCATATATCTATATGGGCGGGCCAACAAGAGACCCCTGTGGTGCACTCCCCCCCTGACGCCCTCAGGCGTTTCCCCTGTCCAGACTCCAGGGGGAGTACTTAGTGATGCAAGAATGAGAGGTTAAAAGTCAACTAGAATGGGGGGGTATATCGAATTTTAATTAATGAATTTTCTATAAAAATATTTTGAAGAAAATAACAAAAAAGAAAGGAAGAAGAATAAAGAAGTAATAAAGAAGATTGAAATTCAAGAATATCCCCTTCTTTTCAGCCTTTGTTACCCCAGCAAAGTACTCAAGGGTTCCCTAAAAAAATTTCAGCCAATTTGGTTCAGCTGATGCTTTGCCAGCTAATTCAGGCCACAGAGGGGGGCCACAGCATTTAAGAATAGAATAGATTTGTAAGTAGGGGGCGAGCCACATGTGAAAAATTTGTTTGACCTGAAAATTGTTAAATTAACACTAAAAAATTAAATCTTTAACTTATTACTAAAAATAGATATTTTGCCTGTGTTCTTTCTCTTAAGTGCTATTGAGAAACTTTTTGCATCAAAACAAAAAAAAACTGGAGATAAAACATTTAAAGATTTGAGTTAAACTATAAATATATGTACTTCTGAAAATGTTTAAATCACGAATATTTAATTCTTAGTTTTAATACAGAGAAAGTAAAGGATGTAAATGTCTGTAAAGATTAAGTAAAGCTCAAGCATGAAATCTTTCAGTTTTCTCGAAACTAAAATTCGAAAAAACTTTCCTGCTAGCTTCAGGATAAGTACGATTAGCTTCTCCAAACCTGACCATATTTTATATAAAATTCAAATTTTTCTCCATTCCATGTTACTTTTTTCTGTATACGATGAAGTGTATTCTACAATGATGTGCAATTCTAATTTGATATCTGTACTAATAATATTACTATCTTAATTATTTGTATATTGACCCAGCCGGGCTAGCCCGGTCAGTTTTCATTTTACCTGTTTATAAATAAAGTAGTTGAATATCATTTGTTGATTAGAACGGACGTATACAGAGCCTTGAGTATTGGCTAGAGATAGAGAGCCTTAAGTTTTGACTAGAGATTTAGTTAAATATGATCTCATTAGACTTTGAGTAAAGTAATCGTTAGAGTATTAGCATCTAGATTTGTTACAACGATAGTTCATTAGACTCATAAATCTAAGAAAAGAACGGAAAAGAATAAGCTTCTCAGAATATACAAAAAAAATTATTTAAACCATATTACTTTACATAGACAAGATAGAAATAAAAATTCAGAAAGCACTCAATTAAAAAAAATAATCCTTTATATATAATATTGGTAACAAAAATAAGATTTTATGCCAATTTTTTTCCTTTTTTCTTCTTCCTTTCATTTTTTGTTTCTTTCTTTTCAATTTTTTCATTTTCTTCTTTTTTCTGATAAAGTGTGCCCCTGTGCCCCTAGCTACGGTGTGCCCCTGTGCCCCCCCCCCTAGCTACGGGCCTGCCAGCTATATGTAACATATATACAAATATAGATAAATATATATTACTAGCCTTATAGGGCCCTTTGCACCCATCTTCTAAATTAATTGTGAACATGTTCTCTTTGTGTACATCGTAAAACAAAACAAAAATAATTCGCGGATTTTCAAAATTTTAAAAAATTTAATGGAGATCGAATTTTGATGGAGACAAATATTTGAAATGTTGATCATTTATAAACCTTCCCTGGGGTCCCTAGATGTCCCACAAAAAATTTGGGCCCGATCGGTTCAGCCGTTTTGACGTTTTTTTGACTAAGGCTAGTATGTTATATATAAATATATATTATATATATAAAAATATATCTTTATAAATAAATATATATGAGCGAAAAGTTTTATTATATACATTGGTTGTAACCTTTTCAATTTCTTATTATATTTTTTACTTTTCTCTAAAATATAATATAAAAGAAGAATAATGCATTATAAAATCAGAGGCCCTAAAAATTGGAGGAAAATGGCGATACAAAGGAATTGAGTCTTTGTAACAAAATCAAATATTTAACCCCCAATATCTTTAGAACCCGATGTTGTAAACCTTTAATATTTCAAACTCTGATTATTTGATTTAACAGAATTCATAGTTTG